GTTTCCCATCAGCTGCATTTTATCAGGCTACCTCTCCGAAGCTCCCCTCAGGAACGAAATGGATGCAAGTTCTCCATGGGAGAAAAATGTTCCAATAGCCATGCGGGACCAATGCAACAAGAGAATGAGCATTGAGAACATCCTGGTTCTTTCCCAACTGGAATCGTCTTGTAAGCGTTGTTTTGGGGAAAAGAAATACAAGAATTCCTCCATGCCTGCTGCTAAAGGAATGTGAATCGGGTTTTGGACTTTTGGCAGATTGTGGATTAATACCTCTACAGATTAACTAGCAAAACGTGACCAGTGGGACATATTCAGCACCTGGTGTTGGTTGTCGCATATGCAAATAGCAGAAATCTCACAAAGCTGTCCTGTTAGACTCCCCTGCACACTCTCTCCCTTCGTCCAGCGGCCCACACTGCTGACCGCCGTGCTCCCCAGCTGGGACGCCTGGGCCTGGTCCGCAGCTCCTGCCCTGCCCTGCCCTGCCCTGGTGTCCGTGCATGCATGCACATGGACTTTTTACTCCTCATTCATACAAGCTCTAAAGGAGTTTCCTGGCCTGTGGTTTTTGCAGAATTACCAAGCCTTCTTCGACGCCAGGGAAGATAACGCGGTCTACGCCTTCCTAGGTCTGACTGCTCCCCCGGGGTCGAAGGTGAGTGACACAACACTGGGGCGCTTCACGGCTGGGGAAACAGGGGGGGGAGAACAATTCACTGACAGCGGTACTCTGCTCCAGGTGCCTCGATGGGATGTGTAGGTTTTGGACCTAGTGTTGGAAGTGATTCCTAGCGTGTTGCGGAATTGATTATGGCCGCAGAGATGGAATGGGGGCTCATCTGGGAGTGTCTTCCCAGAACTGAACTGCGGCTCAGCCTGCTTGTAAATCCCGTTGAAAGAATGGTTATTGTGTGACCTAATCCTTGGAAAGGCGAACTAGGGGCTGATAGTCCTCTTGTGGAAGAGGAGAGAGACCGTTCGAGTGCAGGGAGGCAGTGATTAGCCCGCTGGCTGTTGTAGTGAGTTGGTGGCCTGGTTTGCAGTAGGCGAGAAGGTGCGAGTCATTTTTTTTTTTCCTCCGGGGAGATAAGACGTCTTTTCCAGATAATCGCCTGACTCACACCAGCGATACAATTTCCAGCTCCAGAGAGTTCTGAGCAGAACAGAGCTGCCCTTGTGGCTCAGATAAGGTACAAGGAAGCAAACAGCCAAACGCCCAAGTGCACAGGTCCACCTGGCCTGCTGCGCACACACGTTCAAACACACACACACTCCCCTCGCCCTCTGGCCATTCTCTCTTGCAAATCAGCATGCAAATCTCCGAAGTGCCAGTTTGTACAGCTAGAGAAAACGCAAATGTAGCCAAACTTAGACACAGATACTATGTACCTTGGCAACAAAAATTAAAAAAAAAACTACAGCTGTACGGAGTTACTGTATGTGCTTCAAGCTCAGCACATCTGGAACAATAAGGCACTGCAAGTATTGATACTTAAGTATGTAATTGAAGGTGTTACACTAAATAAATTGAGAGTTTGTCTTCCATTTGTAAGTCATATGCTGCTCCCACATGCTTTATGATTCGAGCCTACAGACAGACACAGCACCCTTTTCTTGAAGAGTGTGCGTTTGTCTGTGGCGGTCCAGGTCTGGAAACTACAGAATACCCTCCTCTCTCCAGAACCTGCGTATTTCTTTGTCTTTCTCTTCGTCGGACCGGGGCTGTGTGCGTCTTTTCTAAAGGTCAGGAGATTAATTGAAACAACCTACAGCTGTGCATTTTGATCAGATGGGGGGGGGGGAGACAACTATCAGATGAAAAAAAATGTCAGTAAAAACAAATACCAAATGACCCAGGAAGTACTGTAAGCCAATAATTAATCTACAAAATCCTTCTCTTTGTTTCACATCCAGACGTGAATTACTTCTTACTGCGACAAGCTGACCACTTCCTCTGTTCACAGGAAGCCGTGGCCCTGGCCAGGCAGCAGCAGGAACAGCAGCAGTAGCAGACAAGCACCTTCCTCGGCAATCGGCGCCCTCTCCTGTCAATGTGTAGTACTGCAGCCACAGCAGCGACGTCAGGGAGAACCCGTGCTGAGATGACCCTATTTAGCAGTGTTTCCATCCATCATAACCTGCTTCTTTTTATATATATATAACTTTTCCCCTGTTTTCTATTTAAAAAAAAGAAAAGGCAAGCCAAAATATATTTTTGTTAGAGGGAGAGGGGGAACAAAATATATATTTTTCGTTATTGTTAATTTTGTATCCAGCGTCTTATAATAATAAAAGGTAGGTACAAACATGCCCCCATAGATTGCACGACTTTATTGCACTAATAATCTTCTGTTCATTTAAACAGAGGCTATCCACAATACCTAAAACAACAGAATTCCCTGAGACGTGATGTGGTTTTGGATTCTAAGGGTTTGTGGTCTCTGCTTTACCCGATGGTGGATAATTTAAGGCTCTGTAGGTCTGTTTAACCACTGAACTCCACAGGTCCCATATGATTAGAAAAAAATGTCTCTGCCGTGTCTCTGGAGGCGGTGTGACTCTTTCTCTTGGTTCTGTCCCTACGAATTTGAAAGTCGGGGCCTTTCAAAAAATTAGCACATGCTTCATACACAGGGTTCAGTTCTGGTGCCTTCAGAGACCCCAGAACAGGCTTTTTCAGGGCTGTCCATCTGACCCACTGCCCTGCAGGGTCCTGGATGCAGTTCTCTTGCACAAGAGTCAGATTAAATTTGGTGGGGAGTCCAGTCTCAAAGACGACGCACAACGCTATTTGGGGGCCTCCCATTTGAACTTCCTGGGGCCCGGGTTCAGGCTCAAGTCAAATTGAAGATTTTTACAATCCCACCCCGCCTGCTCAGTCCCCCACATGTGAAATCCAAACTCCTCGCCGGATTTGCTGGGCTTTGCCGCGATCACGGGACAGCTGGCACCGACAGCTGGATTCAGAGCTCGGTGACTGGCACCGAAAGGTGAGGGCTTGCTTTGATCTGGGCCCGGTGAGTGAATCCACCTGCTGATGAATATGTCAACCACAGGAAGACCTGGAATTTCTAGCTGCAGTCTGGGAGTCCTATCATTTCAAAAGCTGACAGAATCAAAAGCCTTAAGCTGTAGGACACCTTGGGTTTTGTCTCCAGTTTGCGGCAGCAGATTGGTGTGCTGCCATGAAGCGGTCTGTAGTCAGTTTCCGCCTGTTCATTTCCAGTGACAGTGATGTCTTGCTGATTATTTGTGTCTCATCTGTACATTGTGTCTGGGCTCTGGGCTGCTGTCCTTTGCTTTGTTCATGATAAAGCTTCCATGTTGAGTGCCATGTTGTGTTCTGATTGTACTTTGTGTTCCCTTTCAATCCGACAACGGGAGATGGGGGGCGGTGTTTGTGTTTGATGTTTAAGCACACGAAACGACAAACTGTGGGATGTTGCAGTCTTCCCAAAACAACATGAACTGCAGTCCCTCATTCTTGAATCCGGCACTCTGCTGACTACCATTGGATACAGGTAGTTATCACAAGGATGAAGTTAAACAATGCATTGGTAGTTGACTAAATGTTATTTAAGCGAAATTTCACTGTAAATACAGCTGTAGAGAGGGGATGGATGATGTCCATGATGGGGATGATCATTATTAGTGACGTTAGCCATTATTCAAGACAGACAGCAAAGACTGCCATAAACAGATTTCAGTATAAATGCAATATAAAAGCACATAAGTGCAGCAAGATAGGAATGGGATGAGATTTTGAGCACTTGGTACTTGGTTTAGCAGTGCAGTGGAGGCAGCTATAGCTACAGCTACAGAAAATGCAACAGCAGCAATACATAGGCTTAGCCAGAGGCGCAGGTCTGGGGCAGATCAAGGTGTTTCAGGAAAAGAATGTTCTTCACCTGTGTTGTGTTTTCCCAGCCCCTGGCTGACGCAGAGCTGTTCTGGAATGCTTCAGGCTACGTGGCTGGGATTAACCAAATTCCATGCATTTTTCCCACCCAATACTAGCCACTGAGCAGATTTTTTTTGCGAGAACTTCAGTATGATCCCTGCCGCATTCCTTAAACCCAGAGCAGATGGGCAACACAGGAAGTGTCGGGACACGCAGACCGATCAGCACAATCATGTGCTGATGCACAGCTGCTGCTTTGTAATTTATTAAGAAATAGAAGAGGAAATTGTTTTGCCTGGGAGCCCTGCAGTTCTGAGAGCTAGTCATATTTGTTTTTGCTCTTTCTTAATATGCCAAGTCAGATTCTCTGTGGTGGAATTTGAGGGCAGTGAGAGGCTGTCAAGAATGTGTATTATTAGCAAGACGCATTCTGCTCCACACAGAGACTCCTGTGATAAATCTGCAGGCCGGCAGTCCTGTTTGGAGACATACAGAGACTGGTCTGAGCGCCCTGATAACCTCCTGCCCAGCAGTGCGTAACACAGCATGACTTCACTGCCTCAGATGCTGTACAGGTGGAAGTAGCTCACACACAGTGCTGTGTCACAGGGTCACAAGACAAAAGAGAAGGGTGAAAAAGCCCCAGAAGTTTCCAACATTCAAATATTGTTTAAATAGTTACATAACCTTGTGAACCAGGGTACACTTCTCTGGTATTTCAGTCTAATTTTCACTGGCAGCCAGTGCAATATAGAGAGGACAGGAGTTACTTTATGAGATGATACATAAAACTTGAGGCACGTGAACTGCAGAATTAGGGACGCAGTGAAGCTTATTTAGTACTCTAGACGATATTCCAGTAAGACATTACAACAATAGAATCTTGATCCAATAAAGGCATGTATCCATGTTTCAGGCAGAGCAAGTGTCTTATCCAAGCAACGTGATGCCCGTGTGTTATTTCCTAACATGAGCTTCCAATGTCAACACAAGCTGACTTCAACTGTTTCTACTGCTGCGATAGCAGAGGTCGTCGTGCAACTGTTCGCACTGTGCCAGGGGAGAGGGGTTTGCATGGTAGAGCAGTGTGGCAGGGGAGAAACATGGGCTGCTGAATAGGGATGAACACTGAGAGCTGCCTGCACCGAGGGGCTGCCCGGCCCCAGCCAGTTAACTTGGTTGTGTTCGTTTCCAACTAACAGGAAATTGAATGAAGTTTATAACAAAAGTTCCGGAGGGATGACAATAGCCAAGTTTCCACAGCCTCAGCTGTCCGTCATTTGTAATACATCTTGTAATCAGTTGTGACTAAAACACTCCAAAAACCTTTGGGTACGCTTAGTTCTTGGGTGTTGTTATTCCTAGCGTCTGAATGCAGAGTGCTGTTGTCCAGAGAGGCTGTGCGCTGTCGTGTGTGTGTGTTGTGCTCACCCCGGGCCTGAGCAGGGAATGAATGGGAGGCAACAGAGGAGAGACCTTCTGAAGAGTCTTCCACCCTCCCCGGTGCTCCTCTGAAGGCAATCTCAAGTCGTCTGGCCATGAAGCTCCAGCACAAGTCCTCAGGGGTTTCAAAGTGCAAGGTCACCCCTGCTCTGCTCTACTCAGGCTGAAGGCTGGACCGGGCATTTCTGGCAGCTAACAAGTGTTTTGACAGTCAGAACACATCCGACTGAAGGAAATTCCCAGAGGAGCATGGGAAATTCTTATGTCCAAAAGGCAGCTGGATGCACAAGACGGAGCACAAAAAGGAGCAAAGCGATCTAGAACCTTGTGGCTTGGCTCTTTAGAGTACGGTGAGATGCAGAAACAGTGGAAACTTTGCAAAACTGCCCTTGAATAAAACAGCACAAACTATGGACCAAAGGACACGTTAAAAGGCAAGTGAAACTGCCTGACATTGGGTGATGTAAATAAATCCAAGGGCCAAGTTCCGGGTTTAGTAAAGCAGGAGTCATTTTACCACACTGACATCCAGGTTCGGCTGAAAAGCAGTTACGGGCAACATCATCTAATTTCCCCATGTGCCAACATCTGGCACTGCCTGCCAGACACCTGTCCACTTTGTTCGTGTTTTACAAGTGACCTACATTAACGGTGCGAGCATTGCTAATTGGCTTCTGGGAAAGGTGTCTCTGGTGGGGGGGAGGTGTTGGTGTTGATGTGTGCTCTGTGATGGACTGTGTACCTCCTATGTGCCCATGGCTTGCTGGGATAGGCCCAACTCTGAGCAGGATAAAGCAGTTCGAAAAGGGATGACTTGATAAATTGAGCTGCTGTTTAATTACAGCTAAAGAAGAGTCACATAAAGTGTCACATAATGGTGAGAGCATTGTGGGGTTTTACCAGAGTCACCTAGACAGGTGTTGTGAATGTCATGCTCGTTAGGTGGCAGCGTTCTGCCTGTGAAGGACTGAAGCTGACCCTGGTGTAGGTACTCGCTGGTTAAGTACGGTAAGTCATATTCTTCCTCTATGACGAAAGGAAAGAAATGATCATTTTACAAATACATCACGCAACAGGATTATTACGATGGTGTAAAATATAAATATTCAGGGTAAGGGTCAAAGAAGCACAGTGAAATGAGAGGAAACCAGAAAACCCACCCAAACATGGGGAGAACATTCAGGCTCCACACAGAAGGAGTTCACCTCCATCCAGAATCAAGAATACCCCTATATCCACGCCAAGTCCCATTATCAGTTACGAAACATAATTCCCCACTATAAAAGCGCTGTTAATGAGTTTCCTCTGCTACTATCAATCAAGCAAAAAAAACTCTTACTCTTGGGACTAACTTCCAAACCTGCCAGTATAAGCTGGCAGTATAAACAATATTGCGATCTTATCGACCAGAAAAACTAGAGGATTATTCAGTAATTGTGCAGAAAAGTGCATCTCAAATAAGCACTCGGGCGCAGTTGTATTTTTCTTTGCAACCTCCTTGTCTCAGAAGATCGATTGTACCACAGTTTATTCCTTATTCCACTTTTGCTCACACAGTGAAGCATCAGTACTTTTGAAGCAGCGATAATGCATTTCTAATGCAAGTGTAGATTCGTGTGATCAGACCATTGGCCTTATGAAATTCTGTCCATGCTGCCCTGAGAGTTAAAAAGGAAAACAGGGAATTAAGAGGAATTAAGAAGCCTCAGAGGGGGTGTACACATGTACTTTAATTGTCAAACGCAGTATTGCACATCAGGGGATTACCAGGCACACTGCACGAGCACAGCTTCGTGATTGCAAAACCCAAATCCATTACTGCAAAACAAATTGGTCCATAATCTCCCCTAATTCGCAACGGGTCCGTTCTTGCATCTTAATCATCAGAGGAGAGCCGAAGGAGAGGGCAAGGAAGACCGAGGTGAAGGAGGAGAAGAGCAGGAGGTGGAGAAAGGTGGAAAATGACAGCAGCACTTTACAACAAAGCTCCATCACCACCTAGGAAAAAAAACACGAGGTCTACAGTACTAGTCCCTCCGGCATTTGAAAATCACGGGCTTCTGTGTCTGAGTTTCACTATGATGGGGCTCAGAACAGGGTGGTGTATCAGCAGGAAAAACTCAGAAAAAACCCATAAACTGAGTTTACACTCATGACACACGCAGACACTGCCTCGCGCTTATTGGCAGCATGAAATC